GATGTTTGTTTACTCTGTGTTTATATGTTGACAGAGTCTGGACAGATGTTTGTTTACTCTGTCTCTGTTTACAGAGTTTTAACAGATGTTTGTTTACTCTGTGTTTATATGTTGACATACTCTGGACAGATGTTTGTTTACTCTGTCTCTGTTTACAGAGTTTTGACAGATGTTTGTTTACTCTGTTTATATATCTTGACAGAGTCTTGACATATGTTTGTTTACTCTGTGTTTCTGTGGTGACATAGTCTGGACAGATGTTTGTTTACTCTGTGTATATTTTTGATATAGCCTGGACAGATGCTTGTTTACGCTGTGTTTTTATGTTGACATAGTCTGGACAGATGTTTGTTTACTCTCTGTTTATATGGTGACAGAGTCTGGACAGATGTTTGTTTACTCTCTGTTTATATGGTGACAGAGTCTGGACAGATGTTTGTTTACTCTCTGTTTATATGGTGACAGAGTCTGGACAGATGCTTTTTTACTAGGGGTGTAACGGTACACGTGGGTGTATTGAACCGTTTCGAAACAGCATGTTCGGTTCGGTTCACGTGCGTTCCGTTTCACTTATTTTTTCACTCATTAAATTTTATTAACGAAAAATTATGCGCCTCGGAACTAAAGTCCCTTAGCGTGTTTTAGCACGGCGCTATAGTCTTGCAGCACGCGTAGCATTAGCAGCCTAGCATCTCGTTGTGATCTCCTGTTTGGGAACATTATGGCTTTCTTGTTAAAAGACGAGTTCAAATCCAAAGCTGTGTCGACGTTGTTTCACGGAGATTGGATCTGCAGCAGCAACACTTGTTAACTCGCTTGAAACAACATATAAATAAATAAATAAATAAATAAACGTCTCTTCTACAGAAGAGCAGCTTGGTTGGTGCAAAGACAGATAACAGCAGCATTTAAACAACCTTTATCAGGTCATTCTGATCGGTCCAAAGCAAAAGCACAAGATGTAGGAGTTTTAAAGCTCTGGATCTACGTTTCTGTTGTTGCTACACTGGTTTTAAAGTTATTGAGCCCCGCTACGACATCACGTCAACACTTCAGCCAAAATGTTGTAGCAGCACTTTATGAAAAAGCAAAAACTGATATTGTCAACAAGCCCTGGACCAGATTAAAGCCCTGCCCTGATGATGATGACCGAGAGATTCAAACACCTCATAACAAATGATAACGTTCAAGAAGAGGTATTATTTTATTATTATTATCAAATAACTTTATATATTTAAAATTAGAATCTTATTAACTCTTTTTTTTTTTTTTACCTCTTTGTGTTTTATTTCCAGTCTGGGACAGAGATAGCAGCTGAGTCTTCCTCCTCTTCAGGGAAATCCACCAGTGATCACCTCCAGCTAAGAAGTCTGTGATGAGTGAACTCTGAACTTTTCCAGGGACCTGTCCCACCTGTGGGAGCAGGTCCAAGAGGTTGTGAGTCATGAGGCCAAATACAGCCACACTGCAAAATTATCAAAGTTCTCCCTCTCTATTCCTGCTACTGTTGTTAGTGAGAGGTTTTCTCCACCGCTGGAGATCATGTCACTGCAACTAGAGCTGAGCTTTTGGCAGAAAATGTGGACAAGTTGGTGTTTTTGGCCAAAAACTTCAAACTTGATTAGTTAGATTGTAAACAGGCTGTTGCTGCTTATTGTTCTGGTTCTGACTGTTATTGTATTTATTAAGATTTTTATTAATGTTACTATAGTTTATTTATTGTAAAGAGTGCTTTTTATTTAAAATATCATCCAAATGGGTCGCTTTTATTTATTTTATAGAAATGTATTGTTTACTTGGCATATTTTCAAAATAAACATATTGTAAGTCTTCATTTTAGCTTTTTTTGTACCGAAAATTAACTGAACCGAGCCTTCCTTGAAACTGAACCGAACCGAAATGTGATTTTAGCGTACTGTTACACCCCATTGTTTACTCTATGCTTATATGTTGACAGAGTCTGGACACATGTTTGTTTACTGACTTATTGTCTGCAAACATGACGCTGATGGTTGTTAAGTCCAGAAATATGTGTCTTACTGGTTTCATGTTTGGGTGTAAATCCAGGGACAAGCAGCAGAAACTTTTGTCCAGAATTGCTTAAGGTCAGAACTCTTCCTCATTCTTGTTCTGCAAAACAACACAACGAAACAACAACAACAACTTCTAGCTCCACAAGAACAAAGCTGCTGCATTTGTTTTGTGCATCTGATCGGGGTTCAAAGTGTAGTTTATCCATGGGCATCAGAAGCATCTGTAATGTGGGGGGGACACTAGTGTGTGTGTGTGTGTGCATGTGTGTGTGTGTGTGCGCGCACGTGCGCAAAAAAATTGTACTTTAGTTTACAAAAAAGCAACATTTAGATGTCCTTACTTAAATTCCACTTGAAGCACGTTTCTCACCAAGTGTTGTAAATTCAGCTGTTTTAAAGACATTTTAACTTTAATACACATCAGGTCGGCACTATTTGTGTTCATAGAGAAATAAAAAAACATCACCACTAGACTTTTTTTACTTGTGTTCAACACTACTCATCTAATTGATGTTTCTCACGAAGCTTGTGGACAATAAGCTGTGGGGTTTTAAAGACATTTCAACTTTAATGCACCTGAACACACCATGTCTCTTACACCTGCAGCGTCACAGTTACTGCTAAGCTAACATGCTACAGACGTAGCGCTCCTCTCAAGCATCCTCCTAACATGAATATATGTTTATGATCAACCCCCCCGCTCAACACTGCTAGCACTAAGCTTGCTAAACTGGTGAGCGATCAACACAGAGGTACCTCCACCTTCTCCACCTGTGTGCGTTTTCTGCCGAGGCAGGAGGAGAGATGCACAGAAGCACAGCAGGTTGGAGGAGATAACCAGGAAAACCTGGAGTGAATTTGTAGTGGTTTGAGTATTCTCCTATCAATCAAGTGGAATGGATTCCGTTCACAAAGAAAGAGAAACTGCGCCTACTGAACTAATACTTTATAGTAAAATTGTGTGTGTGTGTGTGTGTGTGTGGGGGGGGGGTTCCAAATGAACTTTTTTTTTTTTAATGTGAGGGGGGACACATCCCCTTCACATATAACTGTTGCAACGCCTATGACTTTATCACCCTCCAGTGAAAATGACAGGGTGATCATGTTTCTGATCTTGATTGTGTATGTGTTTGGATATCTGGCTGTTAGCAAAATATCTAAAGAACCAGTGGACAGATTGTAATGAAACTCAGACATTACGCATTGGATATCCTGATGCATGCTCAATAATCCAGGTAGAAAAATCTAAAAAAAGTTAAATCTGGTCCTCTGGACATTCAAAAAACAAAACAAAGAAAAAAAAATTAGAAACATTTCATCTTTCATCCGAAAGACTTCCTCAGTCTGAAGCGCTGTGTTCAGCTCTGTCTTATAAATAACACCTTCTCAATGTGGATCAACCAGTTTGCTGCTGACAACCAAAACCAGCTGCTCACATGGTCAAGGCCAATGGTCCTTCTTGACAATGTGAGCAGCTGGTTTTGGTTTTCAGCAGCAAACCAGGGTCCAGGGTTGGGCTGAATCCCTGAGAGCAGTAACAACATTATTATCAGTTCTATTTCGTATAGGCTTCGCCCTTTAAGGCTATCACTAGTGGGTTTATCCCCTTCGCGTGCTGCGCAGCACTGAAAACTTTGAAAACTTTAGTCCACGCCCACTTGCTGTGTGGGCCTCACCCCCGGTCCGTATAAATTACGGTGAGACTGGGTAATCGGCTCCCTGGTCTTCCCGCATCGGCTAACACACTGCTCTCAGCCGTCGGTGCCCTCCTCTCAGAGCTGCCTGGCATAATCCAGGAGGCGGCTGACACAAAGGGACTTTCTGTCCCTCTCCTTCCCCCGCCCAAATTGGATGATCTAGCGGGAAGGTTTGGCTCCACCCCTGCTCGCCTCCCTGACCCCATCCGGCCTCGTTTTCCAGCAGTGACGTCCTACTTGAATGAGGCTGCAGCCAGGTCTGGTAAGCTGAAGGCGCCCGTCTCCACCTTCACTCCCATCACCAGAGTGGAGGGTTTTACTGAGCGGAGTTTTCCCTCGGTTCCCCCCCTAGAGCCAAGCCTGGCGGAGGCACTTGGGACAAAAATTTCCAGGTTGGACCAGCGACCTGACCCTCCAGGGAAACACGACCAAACTGTGACGAAGCTCTCCAACCGAGCTCACTAGTGTTCCTTTCAGGTGGCCACGGCGAACAACAATGTCGCTCTGCTGGCATACAGCATTTTGAAGAGGCTGGAGGACACAGACCTGCCTAAGGAGACAAAGAGCTCGCTTTGCAAGGTGGCTGATGTCATTTTGAACATGTGTGCCACCTCTGCGGACTGCCTGTCTCGCATCGCTGCCTGGATGACGATGATCCAGAGGTCCACCTGGCTTTGTCTCTCTCCATCCATGCTGGAGAGGCTGCAGAGGGACCTGCTGGAGGGCCCCATCATGACGGACGCGTTGTTTGGGACCAACTTCAAGGCCATGCTCAAAAA